CTTACTGTTCAATTCAACATATACTTATTGCTAAAAAGTGTTAGGACTTTGTGGATTTTTTGTAACATATAAACGAAAACGAGATAGACTCTTAGTTCCTTTTGGTTATCTCTATAGAATTACATCCAGAGCTGATTTAGGCACGTCCGTGTATTTACTTATTTTGTAAACAATGTCAAATGTTGCCAATTTATGTTTTAAATTACCTGAAAGTTGTAAAGACATTTGTTGCGATATATCATATTAGGCCTAGAAATAACGCTGCAGAATTTTATCAAAATTCGATCAAATTCATTTTTTTATTTTTGTACGAATCAAGGGTTGCGTGGGATTTGTTCTCACTCGCTTTTACTACATAAATTTTGGCACTTTTGTAGACATTAAGCCGATTTTATTATTTCATTATCCATTATCTATATATGGCATTACAACAAAAAAAAAAAAAAAAAAAAAAAAAAAAAAAAAAAAAGACGGAAAACTGTAGTAAATGATTTCAAAAGTGTAAAAGTAGGGCGGTAGCGTCGTCTACAAAGTTATGCCAAAATGCTAACATTTATTGCAAATTTTCTGCAAACAAGTAATTAAATGTTCATTAAATACCATTATCAAAACGACAACACCAAAACATATATTTTTTTTTGGAGGACAAGTTAACCATGCGAACATTAAGAATTCATAATACCAATTTGCAAACATGCATAATATTGTGTTTAAATTAGAGTTTTTGCCGGCTCATCCTCCTTTATGGCCATCGGACGTTGGTTAAGCTGGCAGTGGAACTTGAACCGGTGTACAGCCAACTAGAAGTTGCCGTCTCAACGTCACTCTCGTAGCCATTAACCCGTAGCACTATAACAGAAGATGTGTTGTTGTAAAAAAAACATCACTACAAAAACAAACTTTGCTGTGAAAAAGATTTACTATTGGAACTTAAGTAGAACTCAGAGGGTCTCCGGTGTTTAATTCGCATATGCTGGCCTATGCAAGCAATTACCCACACAAAAATTTGAAAAAAAAAAAAACAAGTAAGCAGAGGTTATAGACGTGCGGGGCCGACCATGTGATACCCTACAACACTACAATATGTTCGGAGCCCCTTATGTCAAAATCCATTTTGGAAGATTTCGCTTTTGAAATTATGTCATAGAGTACTGCCAAAATATTACCCTTAGCTTTTTGACCAGGGACATTTGCCAATATTTACGCACACCGTCGTGCTGTTAGTTACAGCTAAATATAATCAAATGAATATCTAGAATGCTAGACTTCTTCCCTGTCCTTAACCCTCTTCTCATGCTAAATTCCGGGTCGATTGATTTCAATTGTGTGATCATTAACATTTTCTATTTTGGGTTCATTTTAACCCCTAAATATTTTGCAAGAGGCCCCTCTATATCTCTAAATTTAGACTCATCTATATGATTTGATTGTCTACGATATTTGGCTATATTGGTCAACGAAATCAGCATAAAAAAGCCAGAAGTTCGTCATTTGTGTATGTTATTTACAGCGTTTCGGTAGAATGGAAATGCTCGTATTTTTTCACACAAAAGTAATGGTCGCTGCCCTAAACTCTAACTTCATACGAGATTTCGTGTCCATTGGTTTATATTTGTGACCTTTATAACTGCTGTTGTTGATCCATTTAAACCTCCAAATATATTGCGGACATTTTTGAAGACAGTTGGCCTAGGCCTTCTGAGCCTAACCCAATCCTTGTGAAAATTTTCGTGAGGATCGGACGATATTAGCAATCTGTGTATAACTTTAACATGTGTTGTAAAGTGAAAAATATTACAAAATATACAATTCAATATTATAAGTCAAGTTGAAAAAATCGCATGGGATAAAAAATATGAAAAAATTAAAAAAAAAAATTACATCATTATTGGCATCTTTTTATGCGATTTCTTTTAGATTTCATTCTTTTATGCAAAGGGGGCATTCTGGATTGACAAAATCTGTCAAAATCGGCCCAGCCATTCTTGAGATATAAGCATTCTAGCTAACATCCCCCTTCCTCTTTATATATACATTGTACATATTTCGCTATATATCCGATATATTTACTATCGGCATCTACGTAACAGTTAGAATTGGAAGATTTCTGCGCAGCCCTAAACTCTTGCCCCATGCTAACTTTCGCTTCGATTTGTCTACAATTACGACCTGCAGAGCAACGGAAAAATCAGGAAATTTTTCAGTTGTCGGTCTATTTCAACCCCAAAATCAATAGGCTTCTATTCGGGCCCAAGCTCCACAATTTTGTGAATATAGGGCCATAATTGTGACCTGTAAAGTGATTACAAATTAACATGGACGGACGGATTCACATAGCTAGATCGACTAAGCTAGGCGAGATAGGAAGATCCATATATACTTTCCTATGAGGGAAACCAATATTTCGAAGTGTTACATAATTTTTGGGCCAATCAAACTTATAATACCCCCAACATATAGTGTTGTAGGGTATAAATACCGAATATCGGGAGGTACCATTATATGGGGACTATACAAAAACGTGAACCTATGCATACAATGTTTCGCCACCAGAGCTAGAACCCATTCCGAACTACAAATACCAATTTTTAGACAAATCCGTGAAAAAATGTGGTAAAAATCATCGAAATACCGAATATGGAGAGGAACCGTTATATGGCGGCTATACCAAAACGTTTACCGATATATCTCAATACCAACCATCATTGACACAATACAAATTGTTCTGTCAAGGTCGACGTCAAATTTGATGATCTGTATCGTGATTTCAACAGACCGACTGACAGATAGACGGACATCGTTAAATAGACTTAGAATTTTATGCTGTTTATGAATATAAACTTTATAGAGTCTACGACGAATATTTAAGGATATAACAAACGGAATGATGAAGTTAATATACCCTCCTTTGCAAGGTGAAGGGTATAAAAAAAGTAGTGATACCGACAGATGTTATATGTTTTTATCAGTAGTGGCTATAATAAGATGTTCAATGTGAAGTTTTTCTCCAAAAGATGACTCAATATTTGTGAACTATTTGTTATAGCTTCCACATAATAGGACGGTGTCGTGTCATAATCCCCACGGACATAATCCCCATTACAATTATGGGATTATGGCCTATTTTTTCGGTCATAGCCCCCATAATGGAATGGGGATTATGTCCAAGAAAAAATTGATCATAATCCCCATTATAATGGGTATTGCGAATATAAACTTTTTTTTGTACGTAGCCAAACTTGATATATTTTGTACATTTTTTGATACATTTGAGACTTTGTCCTCTAGATGTGTCCGGCACCGGCTAACGCAAACCGAAGTTTTCTAAATTTGATACATTTTGTAAAAAAACGCCCTTCGGCCGGGGCTTCAGATTTTTCCTCTGGGTATGTCCCGAACGGGTTAACGCTAACCCAAGTTACTACATTTAAACATTTTTGTAAGTCATCACAGCAAACAGTCATGCTCCCCATCGGGATTATGTGCACTTTGGAAGCGGAGGTTATGGAGGTTTCGCCAACAGATGTATACCCTCTGCCAATGTTCTATTATTTAAAGATATTTTGACTTCTGTTATGATAATTCAAATTGTTGACCCTCTGTGGAGTAGGTTCCGAGGGGATGGTCCTAAATGAATATGATATTAATATTGCGACGCGTCAGGTTTGAACAATATCGACTACTTCCTTCACTTTTTTAAGATAATTTAATAATAATTTTTAGAAAATGTTAAAATGTGCGTGAAGTACCAGATATAGATAAAAATATTGGTATGGACAAAGTGACAAGAAAATCGAAAATTTATATCCAATTTCATGCGAAACCATAAATTCTAATAATTCCATATTCTTTTCAGCTTTCTGGTTTAGATAAGTTGAAAAGAATCGCTGACTTGTTTCGCAAGTTATAACAGATAAAAGTATTGAAAATTGTGACCCATAATGGGTGAGGTGCCAGAGGGGGTTAGTAGATATATACCATCTTCACAACAGATTTTTTGTTAGCAAAAATATTTGTATGTGTGAAATTTGAAGAAAGTTGGATGCTTATATCAATTTCTTTGAACGTTTGGATTTTTAAAATCATGAACCCTATGTGAGGGTGGTACAAGAAGAAATTGTCCGATTACCCCCATCTTTATAACAGATCTAGTGTTGATAGAAATATTGAGATGTTCCAAGTCTGAATGGAATCGAATGTTAGTTTTGGGGGGAAGGGGGTGAGTTAGGTATTTGATGGAGTGAACCGATATTGTCCATTTTCGCACCTGACCAAGCACTGATGTAAATGGTAGGATTTGCAAAGTTTGCAGCAAAATCGGATCCTCCGTTTTCTTTCCGCGCAGTGAAATATTTTTTTAAATTTTCGAAATTTTGTGGGGGAGGTTCCAGAAGGAGTGGACCGATATTGCTCATCTCCGAACTCAATCTGAGTTTTATAATAATATAAAAATATACCCAGTTTGTATGAAATTGGATTCTCCCAGCCAGAGAGACCGACAGACACCCCTAGATCGACCACAAATTTTCTGAAACAGATGTGGTCCAAAGAGACCTAGGGTCTAAAACCGTTATTTCGATGAGGCACGTGTTTGGCTGTATCAAATGATATATGCCCTCTGTAGCCAATTGACTAAGGGTATTAAAACAATATAGCATACATTAAAAAATTTCTGAATTTTGACCCGATAACTGCTATTAAATATGGGGTTTCTGATCCATTTGTATTTAATGCTTCTTCTTCGGCTCCACATTATTATTTTCGAGGTTTACGCACAATTTATAATATTTATGGATTGAAAACAACGACCACAACAAATATCAGCTGTATTGTATTACTGCTCGGTCAATGTAGGCCAATGCGTATACATTATGTGCATTGCATTAGTTAGCACATTGCGTATACGCCTGAGTACACACTTTCATATGATTAATAATAAAATTCTATACCTTTAGCGTTTATTCAATCGATTTGTTTTTGTTTGTTTGTTTCATTTACAGATAACAAATGAATGAACGAACGAACGAACGAATCATACGAAATAAGTGTGAATGCAATTACTCACTCGGACACGGACAAATGGATAATGTGCACGGGCGATCTGCTGGAAGGAAAGTAATTAAAAATAACCAACAACAGCCAGCAACAACAACACAAATCATATAATGTGAAAACAAAAAAAAAGAAACGATGAATTTAAATTGATTAGTGACCGTGGCAAATGGAAAATAAAATACGAATTTTACTTCAACTGAATAAATGATCAACTTTTTTGAGCGTATTCGTCTGATACGAAGGGTTATTGAATTACGTAAATTGTTGTTATTCATATTTACATTATGTGGAGTTTGTTCGTGTGCAATTAATGCAAATAAAAATAATAATTTGCCCAGCATTTTATGGGAATGCCGATTGAAGTCAAACGGCATAAAAGAAAAACAAATTAATTTTCACCATTACAAATACATGTGTGTGTAATTAATTGATTTTAATTTGCCATTAAACACATACACACACACAGGTACTGTTTGTTGTTATAATTGAAAACACAAACAAGTCAATCAATCGATGCAATCATCCAACAACGCCATAAAATTCTTATTAAATTGTTAACTATTCAATTTCTCAAAAAAGTGAAAAAAGAGCCAAAAAAAAAACTAAAATAAGAAGTGAAAATAAAAATAAAACCAGCTACTCTGTCAGCCAGCCATCCAGCAAATTGTGTGCCATAACAAATAATTTATATCGATTTAACTGGTAATGGCTTTTCACCTTTATAGCCACAGCCGTCGCCTGCAACTATATCAGCCACCACCACCACCACCAGCACTACCACCTCCATCACATCAGCAATAATATCAACAGTCCCACTAGTTTGCCACCAGCCAGCCAGCCAGCCAGCCTGCCAACCAGCGAGCTGTAATCACAGCACCTACTACTTTGCCGCCAGTCACTTCCACCAATTCCCCCATGAACATATACATACTACTTACATATATAAATATATATATAATTTCGTGCAAAAGGTTAATGGTCTCTTGCTAGGGGGTATACATTCTCGAGCCACTGAACTGTTGTTGTGTCTTTAGCAACGCTTCCGTTTATTGAACGCCCGTTTACTTACAACTAAATCTTTGGCATTACAACATAGACAACAAGGCGATACCGTGAGCTGGCAATATTAAATACTACCACGACAAGGCAAAGCTAGAGGTTTCAACACCCCATCACTGGTGTTGTTTGTAACAAAAGTTGGATACACAAAATTTGAATATTGTTACGGGGGGAAGGCGGCAGGGACCTATTGTCTTTTATCATTGAGTGACGTGCTTCAAATTACCAGGATTGAGACTTTGGATTTTGTTGGGCCCAAGTTAATTTATTTTCACTTTATGTGGAAATACAGGGGAATAGTAAATTTATGTCCTGGAAAATAATAACACATACATTCAAACTCCCAACAAAGCATTATATACATATTTGGAAATCAATAAAATAAAAAAATAATAATTTTTACATAAAAAAATATATGTGTGTGTATAAAAAGCACACCTTCGGCAAAAAACAGAGCAACAAGCACTCCCACGCCTAGTCAGTTCATATTGAACCTGTCTGACTGACAGAGAAATCCATTGAAACACACAGCGACATTATCGCGACAAAGAAGCTGTCAACATGATTGCATTTTTGACATTGTTCTTTTATATGACAAGTAAGTATTGACAATATTTGACATTTAATATTTCTTTCTCTTATTGTTGTTGTTATTCATTTTAATGTATTTATGTATATTGAATCCCTTAATACACATACATAACTGAAAGTGTATGTGTGTGTGTGTTTCAAGTTACTTTATGTATAATAAATTTGAAGTCAATTACATTTGTTTTGCAGCAACACAATACCAATTTTTGTTATATTTACATACTCGTATGACAACATGAATATATTTTTAACAAGGACACAAATTTTTGACATTATGTCGATGCATTTGAAATACGTACATGGAATAAAGAGAAAATAAAACAAAAGCAAGTAAAAAAGCAGCTAAGTTCGGCCGGGTCGTAATTTTTATACGCACCACGATTTGGAAAAAAATTGAAAATTTTCAAAAAAAAAAAAAAAAAAATCGTCGGAAAATACCGGGCTATACAAAGACGTGGTCCTCCATAAGTAATTTGTCATAGGCTGTAGTAACTGTTCCGAACTTTATATACGAAATTTGAAACAACTCTAGTGAATAACGTTGCAAAAATCATCAAAATACCGAATATCGTTAAGATATACCGAAATACCGAATAGGGGATTCATATATCGTGGAACTATATAGACAATTCTCTTCCAGAGGGTGATGTACTCACAAAGAACTCCTTGTGTAGAATTTCAGACAACTCCATTGAAAAATGTGGCTAAAATCATCAAAATGCCGAATATGAGGGGGGGGGGTACCGTTATATGGGGGCTATACGATAACGTGGACAGATATAGATAATTCTCTTCTAGGGGATAAAGTACTCACAAAGAACTCCTTGTGTAGAATTTCACAGAATTCCATTGGAAAATGTGGCTTAAATTATCAAAATACTGAATATCCGTGCGGTTATATGGGGGCTATACGATATCGTGTACCGATATAGATAATTCTTTTCCTGGGGATAAAGTACCGTTATATGGGTGCTATACGATACCGTGGATTGATATAGATAATTCTCTTCCAGGGTATAAAGTACTTACAAGGAACTCTGTGTGGATTTTCAGATAATTCCATTAAAAATTGTGGCTAAAATCATCAAAATTTCGAATATCGGAAGGTGCCGTTATATGGGGGATGTACGATATCGTGGACGTATATAGACAATTCACTTTGAGGGGGTAAAGTGCTCATAAAGAACTCCTTGTATAGAATTTCAGACAATTCCATTGAAAAATATAAAAAAAAACAAAAAATGTCGGGGAGTACCTTTATATTGGGGCTATACGATATCGTGGACCGATGTAGCCCATCTTCGAACTTGACATGCCTACAGACAAGAGACAGATTTGCGCATAATTTAAGTTTCCTATCTTAAATCATTTTTGGCTAAATCATATTAGAATTTTACGCCGATTATGAATATTTATACCTCATTGGGTCAACAATTATTATTTCGGTGAGTTACAAACGGAATGACGAACTTAATATACCCTACATACTATGTGTGGTGGAGGGTAAAAAGAACAAGCTAAGTAGGGCGGGGACGATTTTGTGACATTTTATACCGCTACTGGTGGGTATCAGCGTTCCACATATGGAAAATTTGTTTTGCAACAACAAATGTTAGGCAAAACGAAAAATATCAGCTTTAGGTCATTGTACAATTAGCATAAGGTAGGAGCGAAACTCAGTCGCTACTGTAATTTTAGTGTCAAACTCGCTATGAAGTTTTGAGTTTTATCTTCCCTTTTTGATATATATTAGGTACATACTTTTTAAACCACAACACTATATGTTGGGTGTTCAAAAGAAAATATGAACATAAATCGTTTCCTTCTCCATGATACAAACAAATCTCCAAAGACGTAATACCCTTATCACTATGTGGCTAAGGGTATAAATACCATTATTTTCACTCAACCACGAATATTTTTAGTCCTTCTGAAATCATAAATTCATTAAAAATACCAATTCTTCAAAATACCGACTATAAGGGGTATAGTTATACGGGGGATATACCTAAACTTGGAGCTATATAGACAGTTCCTACATATAGGGAACACAAACTAATAAATGCCAAAAACTTCGGACCTAAAATGCATTCCAGCAAGCTGTTATCAAGCTACTTCATTTCATTCGGAAGCTGTAGTAATTTTCACAGACGGACAGAGAGATAGACTGACGAACATGGGTAAATTGAAATAGATACACTTTTGTGGATATAACAAGTCAAAAAGCAGTAAGTTCGGAACGAATTTTGGAATCCTTAAAAAATTCTGTTAACATTTTAAAAATACCGAATATAGTCATTATATTGGTGTCTATACGACGTGGACCTACATAGGCATTGTTTGTCATAAGTCAATACCAAATTCAAATTCGAAACTTAAAATAAATAGTGAATAATGTAGCTAAAATCGTCAATATATCGTATATAGGGAGGTACCGTTATATCGGAGCTGTGCGAAGACCTGGACCAGCATAGATAATTTTCTGTCATAGGCTGTAGCATCCATTACGAACTTCAAATACGACAGCTCAAACAATTTCGGTGGGTATTGTACCTAAACTCGCCTATAAGAAGACGTGGACCTGCACATACAATTTTCTGTCTTAGGCTGTAGTGTACATTACGAATTTCAAATTTGAAACAATTCCGGTTAATAATGTCACTAAAATCATCAAAATACCGAATATAGGGAGTACCGATCTATGGGGGCTTTACGAAGAGGTGGACTTGCACAGACAATTTTCTTTTCTAGGCTGTAGTATCCATTTCGAACTTCAAATACCAAATTTGAAACAATTCCGGTGAATAATGTCGCTAAATTCGAATATCGGGAGGTATCGTTATATGGGGGCTATATGAAAACGTGGACCTACATGGCCCATTTACGAACTTAGCCTGTCTACTGGAAAAATAAACATGTGTGCAAAATTTTAGCCTTCTATCCCAATTCGTTCGAAAGATTGCGCGATTACAACAGACGGACAGACAGACAGACGGACATCGCTGATCAAGAATATATATACTTTGTTGGGCCTGGGTATTTCCGACCGGATTCAGTCTAGAAGCAAATACAGTTTGTTAAAATCGGTTCAGATATAGTTATAGCTCCCATATATATGTTTTAGCCCATTTTGTGTTTAAGTTCCCCACATCGAGGACGCCACTTCTGATAAAATAGTTATGGGAGTTTAGAGTTGGTAATAGAGTTAAAAGTCATAACATGGACTCCATAACAAATTATTTGGTTCGAGTGGTTACATACAACATAAATTTACTTCAGTTATGTTTAGTGGAAATCGATATAGCTGTGCTGGGTTAGTTTTAATCTATTTCAATTTTCCAATATAAATGGTTCTTTGCAACATTTGACTCTACTAAATAGTCATAGTTGTGTTGGGTACCATAAAGTCAGCACCGCCCGACTTTTATCTTTCCTCACTGATTTATTTTTCCAAAAGTGCAAAGAAAATAACTTATTTCCGTCATTACCAAGTAATGACTTACGTCTGTACAGAGAATGCTATCCGACTACAAAACCGTCCGAGACTCAGCGACCGTAAACAGGAAGGATAAGTTCACAATAAGTCGAACTTTCAAGTTTAGGTGTGATGATGAAGACCATGTGCAATGTGTGTGAGTAGTGGATAAAAAAAACATCTCACATTTGTTTTAAGCGATAATCCAGCGAAGTTCGTTTTATAAAAAATTTAGGCTTTCTGACTCATATCATTTCATACTTAATAAATAAATTTAAAAGTTGGCGGTGACGCCAACGTATTTTCTGTTCTAGGCATGATATCTACCAGATCCAGTTTTGTCCCCTCTTAATTAACAGTTTAATGTAATAAATTCACCAGGAAAGAAAGTTTACAAATACGACGAAACTCGTGTTGTCTTACTACTATTATCTTTTCATACATTTTAAACGTAAATCTTTACCCCACGTCGTCGAATAATCTACGGGCATGGGACAAAAGAAGTGCCTATTATTGCAAAACTTTCTTCATATCATACATGTTTTGATTCGTTATTAAAAAATTCCAAATTGTTTTCAAAAGTTTTCAAAGTTTGAATTCGCACATGGGTGGTATGGCGGTCGAAAGGGGTTTTTCTGTATCTGTTGACATTTGGTTTGAAATTAACTGGAAATCAAAAATTCTTCAAACAAATATGTAATACATACATGCATACAAGCTATATCTATGAATTCGACAATAAAACAAAAAATAATAAAACAAAAACCACAACAATTAATGTATCTGTGTTTTTCCGAACATAGAACAATAGCATAAGTCCATTTGTGTCACTTTTGAATTATTGTTACAACGATCTAAGCATAAATTAAGAAGTAACAAAACAGTAAGTTCGGCCGGGCCGAAAATTGAATACCCTCCACCATTTGGAACGAATTAGGAAATTTTAAAAAAAATAAAATCTGTTCAAATCTTAAAAAAACCGAAATCGGATGGTGCCGATACATGGGGATATACGATATTGTAGACCTATATATATTCCAGGGGGCAAAGTTCTCAGAAAGAACTCCCAGTGGGGATTTTCAGACAATTCCATTGGAAAATGTGGCTAAAATCATCAAAATACTGAGTGACGGGAGGTGCCGTTATATGAGGGATATACGATATCGAGGACCTATATAAATTATTCTCTTCCAGGAGGTAAAGTTCTCAGAAATTCCATTGGAAAATGTGGCTTAAAACATCAAAACACCGAATATGGGGGGTAGAGTTATATGGGGGCTATATGATATCGTGGACATATATAGATAATTATCTTCCAGGAGATAAACTACTCACAAGGAACTCCTTGTGTGGATTTTCAGAAAATTCCATTGGAAAATGTGGCTAAAATCATCAAAATACCGAAATTTCGGGGGGTACCGTTATATGGGGGCTATACGATATCGTGAACTGATAAAGCCCATTTTCGAACTTGACCTGCCAGACGGATCTGTGCCAAATGTCAGCTTCCTATTTTCAGTTTTGACTGTACT